CATACATACATACACACACATAAAATGTATATGTATATATATATGAATGTATGTGTGTGTGTGTGTGTGTGTATATATATATTTGGTATCTTTAATATACACATGTAAGTTTGTAGAAAATGGGAACTTAAATGTGCTTTTATCTTCATCAAAAACTATGTGTATTTATAACTAATAACCCATTTTACTTGTCAATGTATTAGAATGATATGAATTAAGAAAATATAAAAATAATATTAATACTGTCAAAAACCTTTATACCAGAAAATATTGTGGTTTATAATTACTCTTTCAAAGATGAAATATGAAAATTTAAATAGGTTTTATAAAGACTTCTCTCACTTCGATTAATATACAATGGGATCACTATACATATTTACCTTTTTCCCATTTGAAGCACCAGTCATTCCCCAGATCCACTTTGGTTGGAAGATATTTCTAATTCCACAGGTTCAATTATTTAATGGCACATATTGACTGAAAGTACTTTATTTTAATTCTTAGCACTACAAAAAATAGTGTTTTAAGTTCTCTCTCTTCTGAGCCAGCTCATGTTTTTACACACTAAGTCTAGCATTGAAATAAGACTTATATTTGCAAGTAGTCTTAACTATTCTTTCATATATTTAAGGAGCACTGTATGGATAATGCCTTTGGCCAAATGGAGGCGTATCAAACGGAGTGTCATAAACCCACCAAAAGGACTTCATGGAGGTGGACAGGGCTCACGCTGCTTGGCCAGGATCACTTTTCACGGACTTCAAGCGGTTCCAGCTGTTTTGCACAAACTAAGTAACTGGAAAGAATCAGGTTCTCAGTTGTTGTTTGCCCCACTCCTGTTTCAAAGAGTTTGCAGCATATTAACAACGACTGCATTAAAAAAGCTATCACAGCCTGTGAAAGTCAGAGCGAAGACTTTATAATTTTTGTCAATTAGAAATCTGAAGAAAATGAGCGTTGAGCAAAACTGCTAGATTGGCTTAAAAATACTCAAATCTGTTTTAGCAAGAAATGGTAACTATAAATCTATATGAAAAAATAGCTATAAAATACAGTGTTTTCTGTGGTGAGGGGGTCACCATTTGTGACCGGGGGCATCCGTATGCTTTGAAAGGGTCACAGTTTAGGCTGTTGGGTAGACACCGGGTGCCAAGGGCCGCAAGGAACGAGAGACTTCACTACCAAAGCTGTTACCCCCCCCCCCCCCCCCCCGCCACCCCCCAGCAGACAGAAACCAAGCAAGCCCGGATCATACCAAAGACTTTGGTCCTCGGCTGCTGCTTCTTCGGCCAGGAGGAAACGGGGCATCAGTACTGCGGCAGATAGGATGGCCGACGCTCGTGCTTGCCCGGAAAAGGTTTAAAGCCCTTGTGCCCCTGCTTGTGCTGAGCCAGGGGCAATGGTGGCGACTGCGGAGGCTGCTGGGTGTAGGCAAACGGGGAGGCCATCCCTGTGGGCGGAGGGCAGTCGTTGGCGGAGGACCAAACGGGAGACGGCAGCATCTGCATGGCGTCGTTCCAGTGGCTGGCAGGGCTGCTTAGCTGATATAAAGACATATTTTGACCCGACTGTGTGTGCTGCCAAGGAGCCTTCGGGGGCCAAGTTTTAGTTTTATTGTCCTGCAAGAGCAAGGAGGACAGCTGAGTTTCAAACGCAGTCACCCAAGCCAGGGATAAATGACAAACAGACTTCACACCTTCCCACAACCTCCCGGTCTTTTGGCTTTACGCAGAGATCTTGAATCAGCTCTAAACATAGCCTTTCACATCATTAATACAATTAGCTGCTTGACGCAGAGCTCTCCAAACCTGGCAACTTTAAGACTTGTGGACTTCAACTCTCAGAATTCTCCAGCCAGCTATGCTGGAGAATTGGCTGAAGAATTCTGGGAGTTGAAGTCCACAAGTCTTAAAGTTGCCAGGTTTGGAGACCCCTGGCTCAATGGCTCCTTCAATCATTTTTGTACAGTTCTGGGGGAAAAAGTGTGAAATACTAAAATAAAGTTGCCCCTCAGCAACCTTTGTCCCAGGTTAACCCAATGCTGTCCGATTAGATTGTTTTCTATTAGTCATCTCCCTTTTTCTTGGACGGAGCACAGAACTGTGGGTGGCCTGCAAAACTGCCCCTGGGCTGCCTTTTAAGGGTCCACCCGCAAGAGGGGATTTCTGGGAAGGTTCTTCAAAAGAGACGCCTGCTCACGCCCATCCCTCGCCTTAGTTATTGCCCTCCTTCCTGCATTTAAAGCTCCCTCTTTTTGGCCTTATCTGGCTATGGGAGAAAAGGCACACAAGCTGTCAACGTGCTGGATGTTTGGCTGGGATCAAGGTTCTCTAGCAGTAGGAGCCAATCTAAGCTCCCCACCCAAACAGTTTTCCTGCCAAACCCCAAATCTGGCTGTGGAAAAACAAAGAGGGGTAATCCTTGCAATTCACTAAAGAAACAACCTCATAATACATTTTGTTTATAAATAAAAGCAAGCAACCTGAAATAAATTCCAGTCACCCAAAGGGAACAGGGTATCATCAGCCTTTAATCTAGGAAGTTTGTTTAGGAAGGCGGTTTAATCTGAGTCTCCATGTCAGCGTTCCAGCAAACCTCCATTCCAATCAATAATTCTGAGACAAGCATAATCTCAAAAGTACCTTTATTAGAATAGCACCTGGCACATCTGTGGAATCTAGAAACTAAAAGTTTCCCAGACTTCCCACAATGTCCCAAACTACACACCATCCCCTTTTCTTCCATCATCACATCACATGGGCCAATCACGATTTGTCCCAGTCTTACTCTGTCGTGCCACACTTAATAACCTTGAACTAAGAAAAGAATTTTATTTTGTCTACTTAGAACTACTCCATTGAAATCACCTCCTCCCACTTTCTCAGGTTATGTGGCAGCGTGGAATACGGCTTCCAAAGCTGACACTCCATTTGTCTCAAGTTGCTGCTTTTGAAAACTGACCCGCAAGCCGTCATTCAATGCATGCCTTCCGCTCTCGGCCTCTTTCAGAGGCGCCCTATTCAGTCGAAGACTTGCCTGGTTATGATCATCCACGGTGGAAAGGAGTGGCGGTGAAGGAAGTGTGCTTGTGTCTTGTTCCCCACTGCTGTGTTTTCTGAAAAACCCAAAAATAAAAATGTTGATTTACTAAATTTGTTTGCTGCCCATGTCTCTTCAAAGCGATTTACAAGTGATAAATTATTTACATATATTCATTTCAATGAAGGGAAAATGTCATGATAGTTTAATGGGGGAAAAACTGTTTAATCTATGCAACACTCTATTCAGTAATTCTATAGTCAAACTGAGAGAAGGCATGGCACCCCCAAATATGCCAGACGAAGGAATCCCCTCTGACATTAACTGGTTCCATTAAGTGGGGATACCAACCCAGCTATCTACACACAGTGCCCTGGGAATTATACTTCAGCATTCTATCAACTAGCACCCTAGTATTCTCCTGGAATAACTGTGGGAAGTTGTAATTGCTCCTCCTATCATCCCTAAGCCAGGAGCAATAGCGCTAGACTCAGCCAAGAATTCATCTAGTTCAAGTATGTTTGACAATGACCTGCTGCATATCTAAAGCAAAGATTCAACCTGCCATACAAACCCAGGACTTTGAGTTATCCTTGGGAGGCATCCATGCACCCAGTGACTGTGTGAACACATTTACTGGCTCTGACACAAGACCGTACCCAATTCATACCAGCTCCATTCTTTTGTTACCTGGACAGCTAAGACATTCCCACACAGACACTCTTTCCATAATTACTTTACAGCAAGTATTCTGACTCCGTAAAAGCAGGGGCATCGCAACTGGTCCATGTAAGCACCATCAACCTACTGTCTTTGAATTCTGCCTCTCAGCCTCTCATTTACTATGTAAATCTATTCGTAAGATGAGGTAGCACCACACGGGAATCAATTCAGGAGGAGTAAGAAAGAAGAGATATCTGAATTTCCAAACAGAGCTTCTTCTGTGATTCCTGCTAGGGCAAGGGAGGAAAACTGAGGTTAAGACAGACAGCTTTTCTGCAAAGCATACCTTCTTTGTTTGACAGCAGCCACAATGTCAGGCCCTGAGAACATGGAAAACAAACTGTCTCCATTGGCTGAGGAGGTCTCGTCACTGGAGCTGGCAGAGTCCCCCTGAGTCCCTGACCAGCTGCTGGTCATCTCCCTGCAAAGAAACAGCAAGGCAGGGTTGAGAGGGGGGGGGCCCGGGAGCCGGGCAAAATGGAGTTCTTGCACTCCCTATGCAAAAGAGCAAGATCTCGAGGGACAATTTCAAACTACAAGGTAAATACAGGATTTATCTTGCAGCTTAAGTTCCTATGTTTGGAATTATTCTTAGCTAAGTATCCCAAGCATATCCCCTTAAAAAGAAAAATAGAGGCGTTGTTTATCTGTATGTACTGTTTTGAACCTAAGAGAAGTACAACATGAACATTTAATGTAAAAAATAAAATGGATTGGATCAACAAAACAGCCTCAACAATCAATTAAAACAAATTTACTTAATTTCTATAAAAAACCTGCACAATACAGTATACAAAGAAGAGTTACCAAGGGCACCTTACCCATCTGTGAAATACTCTGGGAAGGGCCAGGTCCTGTGGAGGTCATCAGGATGAGACCAGTTGCTACGTGCATTGCTGGGACGACGAAAGTGTTGCGCCTGCCTTTTCTGTTGCATGGCCTGGCTGACCCCAGCCACATAGCGGGCAAACTCTGGATCTGAGCCAACTGGGCAGAAGAAAAGGAGTCTCTATCAGTCAGCTATTTCTTCCCCAATTATCCCTTGATTTAATTCTTTATGCTTAGCAAGCCACCCCTCGGTGTGTGCCTGCATCCATGTAAGAAAACAGTTAATACTATGGAATGTTTGTTGAATGCCGAATATTCAGCACTTCACAGAAAAGTGCTTTCCTGGCAAGTTGTCTTTGTGTAATGCAAACCACGAGCAAAGCAGCAGCCAGGCCATCACCAGTGTAGTGGAAGCGGTGATGGCCTGATGCCCACAGACAGGGAAAGGGAAACTTTCTGTGCTGATCAAAAAAGGAATACAAATGAAAGTGGGCACCACAAAGTTGAGAATATGGCGAAAAAGAAGGCGGAGCCTCCTCGCTGACGGACCGTAGATCGCGACTCTCTGCCGCTATGGTCCGTGCTCTTTCGTTGGAGAGCCCCGATTATTACGATTAGGGGCTGAAGCTGCCTTGGAGGGGCGGCGGAGTAAGGGGAAGCCGCAAGCCAGGTTGAGGGGAGCCCCATCTCCCCTCCTGGGCTTGGTCTTTTTCCCCCCAAAGATGACTGCAGCGGTGGTTTAAAATGGCTACCCCGAAGAGGAGGACTCAGCTGGATTAAGATTTGTGCAGGAGGGAAGAAAGAGGTGGATAACATCTGAACCGGGACAACTGGGCAATACAACTAAACAAAAGTACCCCGGGATTAAGGTAACATGGAATTTTTAAGAAAAGAAAAGTGAGCGGCGAAATTACAAAGGGACAGGGGGAAAAAAAAGAAAATATTTTTGACAACTAAGCAGGGCTTCAAATCGGGAAAGGAAGAAGCCGGAACTAAAGATTTAACTAAATTGGACAAAAATATTTTGGGAATAAACAGGCATAAAATAAAGCTGGAATTAAGATTGTCAAAAAATAATAATAAAGTTTACAAATTGGAAACTGGACTGTGCTGGAATATTGAGGTTCGAAAAACCCTAAACAAAAAAATAGGGGGAAAAGGTGAAGACTT